TCAAAGTTAAATACAGGATTGGGTTTTTTTTAAGATTCTTTATGCCAGGGCTAGAGGTATGACTCCAACAAGTAGTAGGCTGCCTGCCTAGCAAGTGCAAACCTCTGAGTTCAAAACCTAATTAATAGTACTTAAAAAGAAAGAAAAGTTCCTCATTCTATTTCATTGGTGTGAGAGTAGGTGTGTATTTTGGGTTTTTTTTGTTGTTGTTGCTTTGTTTTTTCCATCACTGGGAGTTTGAAACCAGGACCTCACTTTTTGCTAGGCAGACCCACTACCACTTGAGCCACTACCTTTTTGCCTTTAGTTGGATTCAGATAGCATCTCTTGCTTTTGTCCAGATTGTCCTTGGTCCACAAACCACCTTCCTCTGCCTCCTATTTAGCTAGGATTGTAGGCATGACCACCATGCTTGGCTTAGTCTTTGAGATAGGGTCTCACTAACTTTTTGCTTGGATTGGCTTTGAACCTTGATCCTTCTTTCTCTACTTATGAAGTAGCTTGGGTTACAGGTATAAACCACCATGCCTAGACTGGTCTATTATTTTACGATAATTTTTTGTATTTGTGTTAGTATGTACATATGATCAGGAAGGGGGAGGAGAGACAGAGAGCATTGTAGCGTTCTTTGTAATCATACTAGTGATCGCCTATCACACGTAGTTTAACTTCAGCTTGACAAATTCTATAAAAACCATTTGGGGATTTTGATGGGAATTACACTGACTTGATAGATTTGTTCAGGGTTAGTTAAGATCTTTAAAATATTAAGTTGTCTAATCAAAGTGTTTATGTCCCCACTTATTTAGATTTCTTTAATGTGTTCTGATACTTTTTTTTATATTTTTCCACATAAAGAGCATTCAAGAGCATTCACATCTTGGGCTGAAGGTGTGACTCAAGCAGTAGAGCACCTGCCTAGCAAGTGCAAAGGCCCAAGTTCAAACCCCCATACCACCAAAAAGAAAAAACAGTGAAATATATTCTGGTCACTTACATGTTTTGTGTTGGTGTAAACTTTTCAAAACTGTTCCTGTCAAGGTCATTGTACTACCAAATTCCAGTGGTCAGTTCCTAGTCCTCCTTGATATATTCTCGTTTGTTATAGTTGACCATGTTCTTTTCAGTTAATGAAAATTTATTATTGTAAAATATATATGCAAAATATTTTTTTTTCTCTTTTTTTTTTCATTATTCATATGTGCATACAATGCTTGGGTCATTTCTCCCCCCTGCCCCCACCCCCTCCCTTACCACCCACTCCGCCCCCTCCCTCTCCCCCCGACCCCCTCAATACCCAGCAGAAACTATTTTGCCCTTATTTCTAATTTTGTTGAAGAGAGAGTATAAGCAATAATAGGAAGGAACAAGGGTTTTTGCTGGTTGAGATAAGGATAGCTATACAGGGAGTTGACTCACATTAATTTCCTGTGCGTGTGTGTTCCCTTCTAGGTTAATTCTTTTTGATCTAACCTTTTCTCTAGTTCCTGGTCCCCTTTCCTATTGGCCTCAGTTGCTTTTAAGGTATCTGCTTTAGTTTCTCTGCGTTAGGGCAACAAATGCTAGCTAGTTTTTTAGGTGTCTTACCTATCCTCACCCTCCCTTGTGTGCTCTCGCTTTTTCATGTGCTCAAAGTCCATCCCCTTGTTGTGTTTGCCCTTGATCTAATGTCCACATATGAGGGAGAACATACGATTTTTGGTCTTTTCGGCCAGGCTAACCTCACTCAGAATGATGTTCTCCAATTCCATCCATTTACCAGCGAATGATAACATTTCGTTCTTCTTCATGGCTGCATAAAATTCCATTGTGTATAGATACCACATTTTCTTAATCCATTCATCAGTGGTGGGCATCTTGGCTGTTTCCATAACTTGGCTATTGTGAAAGTGCGCAATAAACATGGGTGTGCAGGTGCCTCTGGAGTAACCTGTGTCACAGTCTTTTGGGTATATCCCCAAGAGTGGTATTGCTGGATCATGGTAGATCAATGTCTTAGCTTTTTAAGTAGCCTCCAAATTTTTTTCCAGAGTGGTTGTACTAGTTTTACATTCCCACAACAGTGTAAGAGGGTTCCTTTTTCCCCCGCATCCTCGCCAACACCTGTTGGTGGTGGTGTTGCTAATGATGGCTATTCTAACAGGGGTGAGGTGGAATCTTAGTGTGGTTTTAATTTGCATTTCCTTTATTTATATGCAAAATATTTAAAATATCTCTACAGTTTAATGGTAGTATGCAACAAATATGTGAGTGACCTCCTGATCTTCTTTGTCTGATTTTCCATCTTTTTTGTCTTACTGCTTATTTTTTTCTAACTCTTGTCAAAGGACAAAATTACAGCTTTATTTTCTACTCTAGAGTTGGACAACATGTTCCATGAAACAGGACAAGTGTTCCCGTGGACTGAGGAGAGAGATTTTATAGACAAGCAAAGAGCCAATTTTTCACTTCAGAGTTACTTTTCTTGTAAGACTTGGACAGGGAGACAGAACAATGAAAATTAACTGGTTAGTTAACATCAGATTACTTTAGGTTACCCTTCTGTGAAAGACTAAAGGTAAGGGAACTTCATTAGCAAGCCTGTTGGAACTGAGCTGCTTGCAAAATTTGGCTGTTATCTCCCTAACCCTGATTTCTTGGTTGGTCAGATAAAAAAAACTTAGTTTCAGATTGATGATATGGAGCTTCAGTGTGAGTGACTCCATTTTGATTTTTAATTGACCCCTAGTACAGAGCTTAGTCCAAAAACAATGGCTTCCTTTAATTTTTATTTAACACCCTTCTATTTAAGTTTTTCATTATGCCATTATGTTTTTAATTTTCAGAAGTTCTTTTTTCTCATTCTGAGATTGTTGTTTTAAGGTCCAATATTCTGTTTTGTTGTAAGCTCATAGTTAGAATGGAGAATTTGAAACTTACTAGAAAGCTCTGTATATAGGTAGAGCTTGTTGACAGTAAGCCTCTATTCTGGGTCATATGGCTGGAGCATTTCCTTGGGTTATTTCCTTTTTGGATCTTTCAAAGATTTATACACTTGTCTGCCTAAACAATGTAAACCTGATGCTATTTGGGGGAACAATATGGGGTAATCTGTATGAAGGTCTCAGTAGTCAGTATACAATTTCACCTAATAATTTTTCTCTCACCAACCTCTTTTAACTGTAAGTACCCATGTTTTAAAATTTTTTTATGGTGTCCTATAGTACAGAGATCCAGTTTGACTCAGTCTCAAATATAAACATCTGGTCTTTGGCTGTAGTGGGTGATGAGCATTGCCTATCTGCATAGAGTTGGAGAAAGGATATGAAATTCTAACTGCATTTCATTTATTTATTTACTTATTACTTTTTTGAGGCAAGGGTTCACTATATAGCCCAGGCCATCTTCCAACTCTCTCTGTTATTTAACTCACAAGCCTCCTATCTCAGCTTTTTGAATGCTGATATTATAATCAGTATTTTAAAAATAAATTTAACTGTGCATCTTTAAGGTATACAGCATGTTGTAAAGAGATTCCTTGTAAAATGTACAATAATGAAACAAACTGACACATCCACCTATTATTTTCCAGGTGGCCTCAACAGATATAATCTACTCAGTTAGCAAAAATTCTGAATATAATACACTATTTACTATGTTATGACTTCTTCTAAACAGACTTTCAAATAGTCCTACTTTCTAGGTTACTTTGAAAGGTATCTGGTACTGCTAATTATTCAGTCTTTTGGTGTTTGTGATATAAATTTGTCTACTTCTGGGTGAAGGATTCTATCTTCTTGGGTCAAGTACATATGAAAGAACCTAGTCTTAACTGTTAACTTTCTGGCTTCCTTGCTTTTTTTTTTTTTTCTTTTGAGGCAGAATCTTGCTGTGTAGCCCAGGCTGGTCTTACGAACTCATGATCTTCCTGCCTCAGCCTCCCAAGGGCTGGGATTACAGGTCTGTGCTACCATGACCAGTCCTGGCTTTAAATTTTTGTGGCGATAGGCTTTTCTTTTTACATGTGTGAGCTTAGACGCTTTTTTGTCCTTCACTCTTTTGAAATAACTATTTCAGAATAACAGTATGGTATCAAAAAAGCAACTGAATATCACTTAAAAATAAGTATTAAAGGTTGCTTAAAATTTTTGTGTGGTTCTTTTTGCCTTTAGGATAATCCATTAGGGATGTGCAAACTACTGAATTTTAAAGTCACTTGGAATCATTTTTCTCTGGCAGTTAAGCTACCAAATTGATATGTAATTAGGTTCCTTTGCTTCATTTTACTTTTCTAGGGATTGACTTTTTTCTTTTGATTTTATTGTGTTTTATAAATAATAATAATCAATTGTAAAAACTGTTTTACAATCAGTTCTGGTATAATTTGATGTATGTGTGCGTTGCAAAACTATGTAACAAAAATGACAGAGCAAGCCCAGCATGGTTGTACACAGCTATTTGAGGGTGGAGTAGGCTGAGGCAGGATGGTTGCTCGAGACCAGTCTGGGCAACATAGCAGAATTACATTTCAACAACAATAAGCAAGGTTTTTCTCTTTCTCTCTTTCTCTCTTTCTCTCTCTCTCTCTCTCTCTCTCTCTCTCTCTCTCTCTCTCTCTCTCTCTCACACACACACACACAGACAACCACACACAAATCTGGCGAAAGGAAGAAAAGATAGCACATGGGCAAATTAGGATCAGAGACACAACATTTGAAAGTTCTTTCAGTGAGCTATGAAAAAGAATCTGACAAAAATAACAGCATAGTTTTTGCACACTTTAAATGGTAGATCATGGCAACACATGTAGTTTGCTTTTAGAAGTGAGCAGTAAAGGGTTGTAGCCTGTGTTTTCAGCGGGGTGCTGTTTTCTGTATTCATCTATTTCTCATGGATGATATCGAAACAGAAAATAAGTAAAAGGTAAATTCATATTGTACTCAGATTGTTTCCCAATAATCATATTGGAATGAAAGCATGTGGTATAACAGAACTGATTGTATTTTTCTCTTTCTGCTTAGATGATATGCCAATGGGAACTGCTGGCAGACGCTTCAAATGAATTCTTGGTGTGTGGAGGGTATGTTTATATGCATTTTACAAAGAGATTTTTCATATTTTGTTATTTTTGTGAATTTATAGAACTTTTGTTTTTGATCTAATATTTATTTCATTTTAATAACTCATTTTTTTTAAGAAAAAGTTTTGGTTTTTTTTCTTTTTCTTTTTTCATTTTGCAGTACTGGGGTTTGAACTTAGGACTTCACGCTTACTAGGCAGGTGCTCTACCACTTGAGCTGCTCTTCCAGTCCTTTTTTTATGTTGGGTATTTTCAAGATAAGGTCTCATGAACTATTTGCTTGGCTTGGCTTTGAACCATGATCAAAGCCTCCTGAGTAGCTAGGATTACAGGTGTTTGCCCCTGGTGTCCAGCCAAAGGAAATGTTTTAATTATCATAACAAGTGCACATAATCTACCCTTTTAACCACTTTCAGGTTTCCAGTTGAATAATGTTAATTATGTTCACATTGTTGTACAACCAATCTCCACGACCTTTATCATTGTACAAAACCAAAATTCCATACTTATTAAACAACAGTTCCCAATATACCCCTCCTACAAGGCCCTGGTAACTACCATTATACTTGGTGTTTTTATGAATTTGACTTCTTTAGATTAAGTGAAATCCTATAGTATTTATTTTTATTTTGGTGAAGCTGGGGTTTGAACTCGGGTTTGTGCTTGCAAAGCAGGTGCACTTCTGCTTGAGCCACATTTTGCTCATTATTTTGGAGATGAGGTCTCATGGATTATTTAGAGTGGCTACAATCTTCTGAATCTCAGCCTCCCAAGTAGCTGGGATTACAGGCATGAGACACTGGCATGAAACACTCTTTTCCATTTTTGAAAGAATATTTTACCTGATGTAGTAATCTTGTTAATAGTTTTTTTTTTTTCTTTCAGTATTTTGACTGTCATTCCATGTTCTTCTGGGCTGCAAGTTTCCTCCTGAGAGATCTTCTCATAATCTTTTAAGAGCTCCCTCATGTGTAATTAGTTACTTTTTTTCTTTTTGCTTTCAAGAGTCTTTCAGCAGTTTGATTATAGTGTGTCTCTCTGGATTTATCCGTTTCTTGAGCTTCTTCAATTTGTATGTCAATTTCTTTCCCAGATTTGGAGTTTTCTGCCATATTTCTTCAAATGTGCGCTCTGCCTTTTTTTTCTTTCTTCTCCTTCTAGTAACCTTATAATACATACATACATTGGTTAGTTTGTTTCCCTTAAATTTTCACTTTTCTTCTTGTTTTTTTTGTGTGGGGGGGGTACTGGGAATTAAACTGTGGTCTCTCTCTCATCCTAAACATGTAGTCTATTGTTGAGTTAAAACTCCAGCCTTGATTCGATTTTCTTTTTGTCCCTCTGACTTGATGATTTCAAATGACCTGTCTTCACATGTGCTCTTTTTTCTGCATTCTTCCAGATCTCTGCCTCCTGAGTAGCTGGAATTAGAGGCTTGAGCCACAGTACCTGCCTTTCTCATACCTTTTCTAGATGTATATTCTGCAAGGGTTGTACAGTATACTTTATTGTAGTATATACAGATACTTCTTTTCTCATGTTGGGGATTAAACCCTGTGCCTTGTACATGCTAGTCAGATTTTCTACCCCTGAACTATAGCCTAACCCCCTCACAGGGGGTTTTAACTTCCTGGTTTTTTGTTTTTTTTTTTTTCATTTCTGATCTGTTGTATTCCTCTGCCCTCAGTCTCTTTCTCCCTGGTACCTATCTTTAGAACTACAGAGTTTCTATTGCTCTAATGCGCTTGGGAGTTTGCGTCTATTTTCACTGGCTTCCAATCTGGTAGACAAACTGTGTCTTCATTCTCATATATGCCCCAAGCCAGGCAAGACAGACACCAGTTCCTTAGGCAGATCCTAGACAACTCATAGTGCTGAGCGCAAATTTTTAAGGGAAGAACTCTTTGATTCTACCTCCATTGGTTTGGTGGGAGGAGGGGCCAGAGCCAACAAAGTGTGAACTCTCTTATCCTTCTTGTACTATCTCTTTTCGTGTATGCACTCACCAGGGTGTTGCTACCCTTAACTAGTTTCTGGAGTTCCCAAAAAGATACTTTGATGCCCATATGGCCATTAATTTAGTGTCTCCGTGGGAAAAAAAAGACCTGTAGCTTCCCAGTCCTCTATCTTACTGACATTATGTGTTCTCATTGTTTCTTATTTTTTAAATTTTCATTATTTATTTTAATTTAAAAACAAATTTTTTTTCAAGAGAGGGTCTCACTTTGTAGCCCACAATGGCCTTGAACTCGTCATATTCTGAGTGCTGGGATTGTAGGCATGAACTATCATGCTTGGCTTTATCATTCTTTTTAACATGAGGTATCTCAAGCAAAGAATGGCGAAAAATATGAAGAATAATAGACTCATTACTTGTGTACTCATCCCTGAATTCTATTAAACCCTTAACATTTTTGCTCTAAAAGAGTCATGCTATGTAGCCCAGGCTGATCCTCTCACCTCAGCCTCCTAAGTGCTGGAATTATAGACATGAGCCACCATACCTGACTGCCTTTTAATAACTTTTAAGAGAAATAAAAATATCATAAGGTCAATTGAAATCATTCATATACATATATATATGTATGCACATATGTATATATTATCTATATGCAATGTATATTTTTGCATGTTTTATATAAGTGGTATAGTATATATTTTCAATTTTTTTTGTTTTTTTACTCAATAAGGCTAAGCTGATGTTTCAAATTATCTGGGCTACAGTATTGAAGTCAATAAGGAAAACTAGACAGGAGAGATGTGAACACAGTCAGATTCAAGCCTTCTGTAGCTTTTTAAGGGGTGAGGTTAGGTAGGAGGGCTGTGGTACTAAGGAGATGGTATAATTTAGCTTTTGTGTGTGTCTGTGTGTCTGGTTATTGAACCCAGGTCCTCGCAACATGCTATACAAGCACTGTCAGACTGAAGCTATGCCCTCCAACATTTTGTTTTTTCTGTTGTCTTGTTTTTGAGGTAAGGTCTTGCTAAATTTGTCTGGTCTGGGCTCGAACTCACCAGCTACTCCACCTCCTGAGTTGCTGTGATTACGTATGTGCGTTACCTTGCCTGGTATTATTGAGCTTTTGCTAGATTAATGCTACGATAACAAATAATCATGAAACTTCAGTGTTTATAAGAAGGATTGATTTTTTAGTCATGCCACTATTGACTATGATTCTGCTACATGTACCTTCTTCTTTCTGGCTTCCATGTTAGAAGCATAGCTCCTGTTTATAACATGCTCTCCTCATAGAAGAGTGACTAAAAGTGAAAGAAGACTCCACAGTGGCCTTGAAAGCTTCTGGCCTGCCATTAGTCTCTTATCCTCTGCTATGAGGAGAGTACCATCCAAATAGGAACTGCTCTTTCAGCCTGCTTCCAAGGGTTTATGGCAGAGAGAGGGTACTCATGGAATGTACAAATGGGTTCAGAGAGAGGTCATTAATAGTTTGAAAAAATGAATACATTCTACCATACTTACTAAGTACAGGTGGAAACAAGTATAAGTGAAATATTAAAAGTTATGGTGTATGCAAGATTAAAATGATTGATGCAGGTGAAAAACTTCTTCATGAAACCATTAAGATTTTGTATCTTCATATCCCAATGGATATTACCTCATGATAGCTCCTGAGTTTTTTATAGTAGGGGACTCAGCAAGTTAAGTGATAGTAAATATTGGCAGCTAGGTGGAAATCCAGGGGAGACTTTCTTTTCTTTCGTTTTTAAATTAATACCATTTTTAAATTGTACAGTAATTATACTTACTAGGTACAATGTGGCATTTCAGTATGTGTACAATGTGTAATGATCAGTTCAGGGCAATTGACATATCTATCACCTTAGAACTGTTACATTTCTTTGAATTGGGGGTCATTAAAAATCCTCTCTACTCACTATTTTGAAATACTCAATTAATTATTGTCAGTCATAGATACCCTGCTGTGCTATAGAGAATTAACTTCATCTTCCTGCCTAGTTTCCCTTGAGCCCATTCACCACCTTACCACATGCTTCCCCAGGCTCTGGTAACCATGTTCTATTCTCTACTACTTTGAGATCAACCTTATTTACTTACTTGCTTATTTGTCAGTAGTGGGGTTCAAACTATTAGGCCAACTGGTATTTCCTTGAGAGGGATGTGTAGAATTATGAGGTTGCTAAGTGCATTTCTTAGAGTACCTTTCCTTTGGTGGTTAACAAGTACAGGGAAAATACTAGAACTTGACAATATATAAGTTTTAAAAAATTCCCTAATGTACTTCATCAGGGAGTGAATGCTTCAACTACTTATTTATTCCCTAAGTGGACTTAGAAGAAAGATGGCATTGGCTCATTCACATTCTGGTTGGCTTATGGCTGTGCTGATTACTTTGTTATTAAGGAACTTAGGGCTTTGAGGCCTAGAAGTGCACTGGCTCGCCAGCACCAGCGGTGATTAGTGACGTTTTCAGAAACTCTTTTAGTTTTGAGTGGTAGAAGCTTGATTTTGTTTGTATTTTGTTTTTCTATTTTGAGGATGTAGCTAAACCTCATAATGAGGTGGATACATATTAAAAACATTAAATACTGTGTTTCAAAGACACTTGATAGAATTACCTAAATGGAAAATAAGAGCATGTATAAGTACATTAAATGGTGGAGCAGTTACAAATTCCACTTGTCTATAAACAGCTGGGTCCTGACTATAGTGTGATTGAACATGTCAAGAGAAGTCAAGATATTGGCCTTTGTTTCTGTGGCTCAAGGAAGTTAACTATCTCCAATTTTCTTGACCTTTTTATAATGTTTGGAAAGTAGCTACCAAAGCTCCAGCAAGCTTACTCAGATTCTGGCAGAGATTAGGAGGATCACGGTTCAAAGCCAGCCCAGGAAAATAGTTTGTGAGACCCTATTTCAAAAAACCCTTCACAATAAAGCAACTGAGGCCAATAGGAAAAGGGGAACAGATACTAGAGAAAAGGTTAGATCAAAAAGAATTAACCTAGAAGGTAACACTCACGCACAGGAAATCAATGTGAGTCAATGCCCTGTATAGCTATCCTTATCTCAACCAGCAAAACCCCTTGTTCCTTCCTATTATTGCTTATACTCTCTCTACAACAAAATTAGAGATAAGGGCAAAATAGTTTCTGCTGGGTATTGAGGTGGGGGGAGTGGGAGGAGGCGGAGCGGATGGTAAGGGAGTGGGTGGGGGCAGGGGGTAGAAATGAACCAAGCCTTGTATGCACATATGAATAATAAAAGAAAAATAAAAAAAAAAAACCCTTCACAAAAATAGGGCTGGTGGAGTAGCTCAAGGTGAAGGCCCTGAGTTCAAGCCCCAATACTGCAAAAAAAAAAAGAAGAAGAAGAAAAATGAGTAGAAGACGACTTTCACTTATATCTCACTACTAAGAAAGACATATGGTTACCTTTCCCTACAAGGGAGTCTGGGATATGTTGTAATTTAGCTGAAAACATCCATCAATAAATTCTGAGTTCTGTTAGTAAGAAATAATAAGTGAATAGATACTGAAAAACTAGCTAACATCTCTGCTACACATGAGATTTTTATTTAAATATAAAATACTATGATGGCTCACTAAGTTCTAAAGTGATAACCATATTGTTTATTTGAATGACTAAATATCTGATCTCTTTATGTCTGTAGAGTTGGGAAAAATGAGAGATTCCTGTAATTCTTTTTTTAGAATTATGAAGGGCAGAAAAGTGAAATAAGTTATCTTTCTTACAGTCCATTATTGTCCCTAATATGTTTCAGTATATGTTGTAAAACAAATTGAAGGTCATCTAGGAACATACTGTTTGTGAATTTATGATGTTAGAATAGGAACTGTCAAACCAAATGCTAACACTTAAATGTGAACTTCACATCAGCTGTATGTTCTTGAGTGTTGCACAGTGTATTTTCAGTCTTTGTGTAGTGAGAGTCCTTGGGAATGCATACTGCATTCATGTTTACTAAAGTAAACATTCCGGTCATCTTTGTTCTTGAACTTCCTTTTCTTTTACCCAGCAGATTTTCCTAGAAATATTTTTCTCTCATGTACAGTAATAGTAGCAGAATGAGCAGATGAAACAGTGCCAGCCTGTGGACTTTTTTTGTTGTTGTAGAGGAACTTTTTTCCTGGTTATTGATACAGTTCTTTGTCCTCAACTTTGATATGAATGCCAAGAGAGTTTTTTAGATTACAGGTGTGATTTTTTTGGTTTTAAATGTATTTTTAACAGGATTATTTCTTGCTTACATACAGAAGTGATCATTTTTACTTTTTCTAGAATTTTCTCTAAATATCATTAAGAGTTCAAATGAAAGAAAAACCATCTCACCAGTATTTCTTTTCTTTTTCAATAAATTATGATGGCAGGCAGTGTCAACCTACTGTGTCACCTCACAGTGAGACAGCCCCAATTCCAGTTCCTACTCAAATAAGGAATTACCAGCGCATTGAGCAGAATCTTACATCTACTGCCAGCTCTGGCACAAATCCACATGGTTCTCCAAGGTAAGCCAGTGTCTTAAGTCTTTTTATTTTTTTACATATTTTTGTTACTAAAGATGTGTGCATGTGTACACATACACGTATTTGCCCACAATTTTAATTACTTTAAAGAATTGAGGAAGAACTTATTAAAAAATGAAATCTCTAGCCAGACATGCTTGGCACACTCCTATAATCATAGCACTCAGGACCCTGAGGCAGGAGGATTATAAGTTTGAGGCCAGCCTGGGCTATATAGTGAGTTTCACACCAACCCCTCTCTCTCTCTCTCTCTCTCTCTGGCAGTACTGGGTTTTGAACTCAGGGCCTCACACTTGCTAGGCAAGCATTGTATCATTTGTGCCATACCCCAACCCTCAAGACCAGCCTTTCTCAACAGCAACGACAAAAAGAAATCCCATTAGTTACAGGAGATTATTTATGGATTGTATTTTTCTTCTTTATTAACATTAAAATGTTAATAAAAGGTTGGGAATAGTGGTTTAAGCCTATAATTCTAGCTACTTGAGAGGATAGCAGTTTAAGGCCAGCCCAGGCTAAAAGTTCCTGAAACTTCATCTTAGCCAATGTCTAGGTATGGTGGTGTATGCCTGTTGTTCCAGCTACTGGTGAGTACAGTTAGGGAAGCATAAATGGGGGATTGTGGCCCAGCAGGGAGTATGTAAGTATGTGTGTAATCAGGATTCTGACAGAATGAGAATTAGTGTGCCACACAGTAGCCCCAGAGAGGCATAAATCTCTGAGAATTCATGTAGAGTAAAGGGAAGAAATAGCACCTCACCTCAGCCTTTGGTAAATAGCTTACCTTATGTGTATGTACATAGTCAGATACATATTGTCCATAGATACTCTTGTGTATGAAATTGCATATATGCAAAGTTATTAACAGTTATGATAGCAAAGGATGAGAAGAAATAAGCCACGTACCCACCAGTAAGGGACTGATTTATTAGTCCATCAAGAATAGGAAGCTTTCTAAGCACTGAAGCAGAGAAATTTCCAAGGTATAGTATAAAATGAAAAAAGTAGGGTGGCTAACAGTATATCAAGCAGTGGTTCTTATAAGTGTAGTCTGTGGCCAGATGGGTGGCTCATACCTGTAATCTTAGCTGCTTGGAAGGTGGAGATTGGTAGGATCCTGGTTTGAGGACAGTTCAGGCAGAAGGTTAGCAAGACCCCATGTCAGCTATTAAACCAGGCATGGTGGTGTACATCTGCGATCCCAGCTATATGGGAGACTGCAGGAGGATCACTCTCCAGACCGGCCCCGGACGAAAAAAAAATAAAAAAACAAGAACAAACAGCAAAATAAACCCATGAGACCCTATCTGAAGAATAACTAAAGCATAAAAGGGCTGGGAAAATGGCTGCAGTGGTAAACCGCCTGTCTACCAAGCATGAGTCCCTGAGCTCAAAGCCCACTACTGCCAAAAAAAAAAAAAAAAAATGTAGTCTGTGAATCCCCCCATAGAGACCATGAGGTCAAAATTGTTTTCATAATACTATGATATCGTTTTCTTTTTTACCACATTGATATGTGCACTGATGTTTAGTAAACAAAGATGAGTAAAATTGCTGGTGCCTTAACATGAATCAAGGTGGTGACATCCACATAGTGTTAGTCTTTGTACGCTTCACCAGCACATTCTTGCAGTGCAACAGAATATCCTTGATGAAGCAGCAAAAGTTACTTCTCTTTGAAAATTACAACCCTTAGCTGGGTGCTGGTGATTAAGGCCTGTAATCCTAGCTACTCAGGAGGCAGAGATCAGGAGGATCACTGTTCAAAGCCAGCTTGGCAAATAGTTCATGAGACTCTATGTCAAAAAAACCCAATACAAAAAAGGGCTGGTGGAGTGACTCATGGTAGAGTGCCTGCCTAGCAAGTGTGAGGCCCTGAGTTCAAGCGTCAGTACCACCAAAAAAAGGAAGAAATAAGAAAATCACAACACTTGAGGTAGAATGTACACATAAAGCAGTTTTGCTACATATTAGAGTAGTTGTCCTAGGAAAAGCATTGTCTGATTATTGTAGTTGCAAGTTAAACTAGCCACTTTTTCATAGAGCACCCTTTTTATTTTAAAGAATAGTGGGCAAACTACTATATGAGAATCTAGCATCCACTTTGTCAAAAATTAACTAAGTTTTGCTACTTTGAAGGAAACAAGTGACTTCTGGAAAACTCATATTCACTACTGTGATGTTGATAGTTTCTGTTTCTCTCTTAAGGTTTTGATGTAGATGTGACCTTTTGATATCTAATGTGTCAACATTTGGAATAGCTTTGTAACAGTGAACAGTATTGTCCTAACAACATGATGTTAAGCAATGATGCACAGATAAAAAATTTATTAAAAATGCAATATATTTTGCAGAAGAATAGAGTTTAATGTAACAGGGTACAAGAGTTCATGGATACAACTTCAGATTCCACGTTGTAGCTCACTACTTGCTGAGGTTTGGTTTAATATCAGTTACTTGAGAAGGCTACCAGACAAAATATTCCTTCCTTTTCTAGTACATGTGTGTATAAGAGTGGGCCTTCCTCAGATTCTCCAAAACAACAGATTGAATGCAGAAGCATTATAGAAGATTATAGAAATCCAGATGTCTTTATTAAGCCAGGTGTTAGAGATTCACAGAAATTTAAAATAATACAGTGCTTCCCATTAATTTATTTTGTTTTGGAAATACTTATTTTTCATAATCTTATGTTAAATGCAGTAAGTTTATTACTGTTAATGAATTAGTGATTTTTAAAATTTTTTTATTTTAAATACTGTGTATATCTGTAGATATGTTATATAAACAAACTAACTCTTCAATAGTTTTTAAAAGCATAAAGGAGAACTAAGACCCAAAAGGTTGAAAATAATTGGTATGTAATATAGCACCTTTGGTGTTAAAACAAGGTGAAAAATATTATTATATATTAAACTTGCTTGTATATGCATTAAGGAGCTCTGGAAGGATCTACTAGAAGCTAAAAGTAATGGTAACCTTTTGAGTAGGATTGTTAAAAGTTAGGCTGTATGTCCTGGTGGCTCACACCTATAATCCTAGCTACTCGGGAGGCAGAGATCAGGAGGATTGCCTTTCAAGACCAGCCTGGGCCAGGTGCCAGTGGCTCGCTCATTCCTGTAATCTTAGCTACTCAGGAGACACTGATCAGAAGGATCATGGTTTGAAGCTAGCCCTGGGCAAATATTTTGCGAGACCCTACTTGAAAAAACCCATCACAAAAAGGGGCTGGCGGAACCTCAGCACCTCTTAAAAAAAAAAAAAAAGACCAGCCTGGCCAAATAGTTTGCAATACCCTGTCTTGAAAAATACCCAACATAAAAAGGCTGCTGGAATGACTCAAGCAGTAGAGCACCTATCTAGCAAGTGTGAGACCAAGTTCAAACAGTACTGCAAAACAAAACAAAACTCTATTGTGGCATTGTTAGGAAGCATAAATAAAATAAAATCCCTAGACCCTGCCACAGAAGGAGTAATTCTCTTTTTTCTTTTCAGATCTGCAGTGGTACGAAGGTCTAACACCAGCCCCATGGGCTTCCTCCGACTGGGATCCTGTTCCCCAGCACCTGCAGACACAGTCCAGACAGTTGGACGAAGACTCTCTACTGGGTCTTCCAGGCCTTACTCACCTTCCCCTTTGGGTAAGGAGAGTGTAAACCATTTGTTTTCATTGTAACAAATCTGACATGGCACACTGCCTTTAGAAACAACGGCTCACCATGGCATTTATTCTGAGCTGATTAGAGGCCATGTCCTATCTCACCTGCTTTACCCCACTTCCAAGTCTCCCTTGAGAATCTCTGTATAAACCTGTTAGGTTAGCTGTTGGGAGTATAATAATATAAATGGATCTTACACATCAAAATTGGATTTGGGTTCTAAACATAGTCAGAAACCCTAGGCTAACATGCATAAAATGCCAGTCCTACTTATCACTCTTGTTATATGAGGATTGAAATACAGCAGTTCTGTGTCACATTCACCAGAAGCCTTCTAGCTCCAGTGAGAATATGGCTGCAGTTTTTTTTGCACTTCACCTAGATGTTATTCACAATTACATGAAGAACCCTAAAACAAATAATAGAAACCCTACTAAGTAGAAAAACAAACCACATCTTCCATGAAACTAAGGAACAAAATGCTGAAACTCAGAGTATTTGTAAGGGAGGCCAAAGCCACTAAGTCTAAGTCCATAGCATCTATGAGCAGCAGCACACAGGTGGTGGGAAAAACAGGTGATGTAGAGGGGCCCCACCTGCAGTCAGAAACCCACAGGAGCCCTGGGATAATGTGTTTATAAAAGTTTAAATTGCTTTATCTCCTATTGCAATAGTTTTAGCTGTTTCTAGCCAAAAATCTTCAAACAAAATCTTGGCCTTTCCTCATTCCCCTGGTAGTCCTTGGAGCACTCCAAGGTCTCCAGAAACAAGATCTAAACCTTATCCTTACTCTCAAGGAAAAGGCTGTTGCCTTATCACCATGACCCTTCTTGTAATAGACTTGTCTCTTATCTGTGTAAACTCCCTGGAACCTTCTTTCTGTGTTAGTTTGGGTTCTCAGGGAGGTGGGTGCAAAGAAAATAGTGATAGTCAAGAGATCGACTGGGATAACACCTGTGAAGGCTAAAAGGAGACTTGAGAGGGCCTGTAGAGCAAGGTGCAGGTCTGACACCTAGGAAAGGGAGTGTGGGAAGGAGGTAAAATTGGGTAAGAAGAGCCTCAGACTACAGTGCAGTTCCCAGAAACTACAGGAATAGCCCCAAGTACTGTGTTATCATAGGAATTCCCTCATCTACTTCAATAATCCTGAATTAGTCATTGGCTGCAAGCTACCCTGGGAAGCCTGGTCTCAGCACAAATGTGAGTCTGCAAGAACCACAGCTGGGCTGACAGGTAGCTGTGCCCTGCAGCCTCAGAAACCCCAAGCACGTTGTACAAATTCTTGTGTTTCAGTCTTATACACATATCTGATATGGGTATTTATTTGTTTTTATAGCTTTCTTTCCTAGTGATCTAATGATCTTGTTTTAAACTGGTTGTATGGTATTTTTTATCTCATTGTGCCTAGTGCCTAACACATTGGTTGCTAAGTAAATGTTAATTGAACTAAATCTTTGCAAATTAAAATTTTGTAAACTGTTACACAGTGAGCAGTTTGTGCATGTGTTACCTGTTTCTATCCTTTGCTGATTTAGAGTAATTTCTTCTTCTTTTCCCATGTCACTTCATAGTTGGGACCATTCCTGAGCAGTTTAGTCAGTGCTGCTGTGGGCATCCTCAGGGCCATGAGTCCAGGAGTAGAAACTCTTCAGGTAGGAAAATAGATTTGGTAGATTAATAACTTGAATTTTATTATGAACAGATTTAAGGTATGTTGTGCTATTTTTATCAAAAGAACATAAATGATATGGAATAGTTTCCCTGCTATCTGTGTTTTAGAATTTTTGTCTAATGTGTTTTTAGCCTGTTACATAGTTCATGTCTTTTGGGCATAAGATTCTCTTTTGAAAATAAAGGTAAAAGTCCCTCCCACCCCCCACCGGAAAAAAAAATCTTAGATATTAAATTAAGTAACATATAAGTTTTGGTCTTTGTCATACAGATA